AATGGGCGGTGAAACCAGGACCGAAAGCAATCCTCCTTTGGTTTCTGGTGAGACTGATCTCTTGATCCTTAGATTTCTTCCATTCGCTCTTCTGAACAAAATGTATGGTATGGAAACATGAATTTCCCTCTACACTTCTCGATTTTTCAATTATTTCAATGATAAAGATGATAGAGACACTTATATATATACAGCCTACCTGAACATAGTACATGAACATTTGTTGAATATGAAGGCCAATCCCAACAGGAATCCGGTCAAAGAGTTCCCCGCAAGTGATCAATTCCATAAACATAATGGAGAATGAGGGAGTATTCCTGAGGAAAGGTGTCATTCGGGCGTTAGTGGAAATAAATAATAATAAGAGTATTCTTAGGATATAAGAAAGAATTTCGTAAAAATAACACAAAATAAGAGTTCAACATAATTTTCCACAATTGACTATAAGAAAAATGTTTGAGGACACATTAGAAGGGAATGGAAAATTATAAATATAAGTATGTTACAGCAAGATAGTATAACTTGTGTGCGCTTTAAGCTTGCTAAAAATAAAAATATAGTTCAATCTCATTTCTTCAACTTATCAGAAGACTAAATAAGTGACCAAGTTTTGTAAAAGTTGCTGACACTTGATCTTACTTTTGCGTACAAACCTTTAACAAACCTATTTTACAAACACTTCATCACAATTGAGCAAAAGTTTTAATAGCGACAACTATATGGTTTTGCAGGTCCAGCACATAATAAAAATGTAGTAAACCCGTTCCATATAAAAATCAGAACAGTGCTTTCTGATGACCACGCATAGGATAAGAAATTTTAAGCAATTACAGTATTTTCTATTTAAAATGAGCTGAACACCTTTAATATAATATCAGGTGCCAAGTCTAAAATAGTTCATCAGTTTCGACAAAGTGAACGAACAAATGGACCTAAAACTCGAAAGATCATTTTAAGGTATAAAACATTTACGAAGACCAAAGCAAAAGCTAATTTCTGGATATAATGGAGGATTTTAGGGATAACCATACGATTCCGCACTGCTTTGATGGAATGTAACGTCATTCATGTGGTCAGAAGTCAATTGAATAACATTAAAAGTAGACCTTGAGAGCCCACTTTTCATGCCTCTGATCATGATTGAGGTACAAGTGTTTTTTTACGTTAAGATTTATTGTTAACTATTTAATTAAAAGATCTCGTATAAAATATATTTTTAATGGCCAACAAAGGAAAGACAAACAGCAAATAAATAATTTTTTCTTCATGAATTCCTTTGAAATGTAATTGTCTAACCTTTAAGTCACTTTAGGCTTTTGAATTAATGATCAACGAACTTCTTTTTTTGCTTGTCATAAATTTTAAAGAATCTCCATCGGCAACATTTTAATTGCGATAACTACGTCACGTTTTTTTCAGCGTTAGAACTAAAAACTAAAAACTTCTCAGTTGCGGAAATCATTGTCCCTATAAGGAACAATGTTAAAAGACAATGCAGCGACATTTGTTAGAGTTATGATAGCTCAGAGTTAGCAAAGTAGAATATATTATAAACGGACTGATGGTCATCAAAGGAATCCTAAGCAAGCAATAAAATTCAAATAGATTCCATTTAAGTCTGATTGTTCCAAATATAAAATTGCTATCGTTAAAGCTAAAAACCCATAGAAAAGTCAAACCGGCATTTAAAATTCAATAATGTAGAAGTTCCAAAGAGTCTAAAGCAAATAATTTAAGGCAACAGCTAGATAAATAAAGTATAAATTAGGTCACGGATATCAAGGAAGGTACAAAGCAATGAGATTGAGCTAACCAAAAAAGGGGATTCAAAAAGTCGGAAAATGACATATCATATATGCAATCTACTATGAATCCTAAGAATGGCAAACTTTTTCAAGAATGCCAAGCAAAAATTGTCTTTCCTAATCAAGAGATTTATGAGCACTCATTATTATTGTGGAAACAATACAGCCATCAATGTTAGGTTCAGATAAATACATTAGCAAAGAATTTAAGTATTTTAGAGGACAATGTAATTGCTGTGGTTGGCAAACAGATTAAAATCCAAATACTATTGGAAATGAAATGAAATGATATATGTCCTAGCAACCAAATTGTGCTAAGATATCCCCAAATGTAGTAAAGATTAAGAGAAGCAATAATCCAAGTGTAAAATGGTAATAAACGACGTCTCAATTGACCCTTAGATTATATAGCTCTAAGTGGCATTCGATTGATCACTGACTTTATCGTATAAACATGTGGGTCAGTAAAGCTCATAATTCAAGCACGAAATGATGTGTATGAAAAAAACTGCTTTATTGATTATTGTCGTAGTAAATGAATAAACCGTTTTATCTTATGAGTCATTGCTTTATACTGTAAAAGCAAGTTGTAACAAAGCTGATAAATAAATTATAAAAAATTTACCTTATCCCATAGGCCGCTGCAATATTGTGGTGCTTTAGGCGTCGTTGAATTTCAGCCTCTTGTTTGAGATCAGCTCTTATCTGAGCCGCCCTGCTTGCAAGACAGGGATAACCCTGAGGAGTTGCTTTAGAAGAACTAATGGCATTGTGATGTAAGGGAGAACCAATTTTTCCATAGATATACACGACCTTCGCAGCAAGACAATCTTTAGTTGTAGGATTTACTACTAAAAAAACTCTGCCTATTCCGCCTTCAGCCAAACAGTGAGATAATTTGTAACCCGGAGGAAGAACAGAAGCCGCCTCTGCCTTGATTTTCTGGATTAAAAACCGATAGAAGTATATGGGTACAAGAATAACGTAGGTGTATTTAGGCTGAAGCATGAGGAAAGGATTAGGAAATCGGCGAAAATAGATTATTTATGTGAAACAAGTCTCCATTAGTTTTATTTGCGCCCAACGGTACAGGAAGAAAAACAGAATAAAGGTTAAAAAGTGAGGAAAGTATATGAAACTGCCAAAACATAAAGAAGAAAAATAAACTTAAATTCCTTACCATTATTGGTAGCGGACTAAGTCAATTAAGGTTACTGAAGATAAAATGCAAATTAGAGGCAAAATAAACAAAGAAACAGAGTATGTATAAGCAAAGAAATCCATTTTCCCAGGCAAGGCGAGATGAATTTGTAATGAAGTCCATATCGAACAAGAATCCAATGATTACCAGGAATATGGCATGCAGTTTATGACCCAAACCCAAGATCGAGGGTCTTTTTACAAGAGACAG